TGAAGAACAACAAGAGTTATTCATACAGCTTCTCCCTGCAGGGCACAACAAGGCATTGGGATGCATTGTCTGACCGGGCCAGAGGGGAATCCCCAGGCCCCTGGGAGCAGGAACTCTGATGGCAGAGGGTGGGAGGGGGGGGGGGAAAGGGCTCGATACACACAGGCTGTAACGTGTCCTGCAGAGGAGAAGCTTTGGGTCATGATCTTTCTGCAGGAAAAGTGGCACCACTGACTGTGTGGGATCCAGGACCCAGGGCTGTGACCCACTGGGCCGTGTCCCTCACTACTGCAGGTGTGGGGAGTTTGCAGCCAAAATTTGGGATGAGTGGCAAGATCCTTTGACTCCACAGACTCCTCCTTTCCCTGGCAGTTGGTGTCGGTGGCCTCAGCACACACGCCCTGTTGGAGAGCCCTTGGCACAGGAGTTTGCTGAGAGCTGAGGGGGCGCAGAACCCGCTGCTGTAAGATACAGTCACCCCACAGGACACACGGTGCTGTTAGCTCACAGTGTCCCACGCATCATGTCTGCCGTGTTAAACACCTCCCCGAAAACCCCTGCAGAGTATGAACAGGGGCCTGTTTGTCTTCTGGGAAACCTACGTGTGCACGTGCAAAGTAGCTAGTTAGAGAATAAACTGCCCAGGAGTGGGTGACAGGACTGTGCCAGCAGATTCGGGCTCAGTGTCTGCATCCCTTGTTGAAGCCTCTTTGACAATGGGCTGGCAAAGCATGCGGGGTGTCAGTGCAGACACTGCTGTCTGTGGCACACCGGAGGGGCCCTTTCTCACTGACCCAGGGTGGGAAGAGCTGAGCAGGGTTCTGTTCCACAGGGTTTAGTGAAAGCGATCTCTCTCTTGTGCACAGTCTGGCCCAAGGACTGCAGCGAGATAACCTGGAACAGGGTCAGTGGCGTCTTCGTCATCCAGCCCACAGGATTCCACCAGATTGTCGTTTACTGTGACTTGAACAGCACCAGCGAGGGCTGCACGGTCCTCCAGCGGAACCGGCACGACACACAGATCACCTGGGCTGAGTCCTGGAGCACCTACAAGTACGGCTTTGGCAACGTGCAGGATGACTACTGGCTGGGGACGGAGTACATCTATCGGATCGCCAAGCAGAATGTCTACCAGGTCAGGTTTGTCATCCACGATTCATCCGGCACCATGAAATACGCAGATTACAACCTCTTTGGTCTGGAAGACGAGTCCAAAGGCTACAGGCTGAGGCTGGGCTCTTACACTGGGACTGCAGGGGACGCCATGACTTCAAACAATCCTACCACCGTGCATGACAACATGAAGTTCTCCACTAAAGACCTGGATTAGGACACTTACGGTGGGAACTGTGCGTCTACCCTGTTTCCCCGAAAATAAGACATCCTCCGAAAATAAGGCCTACTTACAGTTTTGCCTCTCGTTGTAATATAAGGCATCCCCCCGATAATAAGACCTCCCCGATAATAAGGCATCCACCGATAATAAGGCATTTTTCATTTCTGAAAAATAAGACATCCCCTGAAAATAAGACCTAGCGCATCTTTGGGAGCAAAAATTAATATAAGACACTGTCTTATTTTCGGGGAAACAGGTTAGCTATGAGGGGGGCTGGTGGTACTCGGCTTGTCATTCTGTTCGACTGAACGTCAAAGGGAGCATCACTTGGGGTAGTTTCTGTAGTGGGAACTGCCAAGCCTCCGCCATCCTCATCAAACCAGCGTCCTACTGTTAGTCACCCCTTCCCCACCCTCCTGTCTGCAGTGAGGCCAACCCCTGCTCCACGAAGGGAGGGAAAAGGGTCAGCGTGTGTCATGGCCAAACCTCACACCCAACTCGGAGGGGGAAGTATCATGTTTATCCAAAATGGGGCAACTTTCTCTTTTCTTTTCTTCCGTGCACTTTCCGAGCTAATCTCTGCTGGGCACTTGTGCTTTGCGTTGACTTGACATAGTGATTTTCGTAATCAGAAGAATCATTTGCAAAACCTGCAGTATGCAGATGTAGAAGCTCCGGGGAGAGTAAATGCCTCGGATCCGTAGTGACTTTTCAGTGTCTTTTGCTCTCAGACTCATGGGCAGTTCCAGAGGTCACAGGGGTGGGGAAATCCAGAAACACAGAAGGGTTTTTATAAACACCCACTCTACTGCTCATTAGCAGGGATTAAAGCTTCACATTAAAAAGGCATTTTAAATGTGCAAAAAGAAGAACAGGAGGACTTGTGGCACCTTAGAGACTAACAAATTTATTAGAGCATAAGCTTTCGTGGACTACAGCCCACTTCTTCGGATGCATATAGAATGGAACATATATTGAGGAGATATATATACAACTCCCACCTGTTAATGCTCTCTGTATGTGTGTCCTCCTGTTCTTCTTTTTGCGGATACAGACTAACACGGCTGCTACTCTGAAACCTTTCATTTTAAATGTGGTGGCCCCGGTTGGTAACTTTCTTTTGCGTGCCACTTACTCTCTGCTGTGCTCTCGTGGGCACCGTACTGCGTAGATCCATTCCCAGTATTCT